CGACTTACCGTTTTGTCTACTCAAAATGGTCGTCTAGTTTTGTCACCTGTGATTTCATTGAAATGCATTTGACTTGAAGTTTCTTTTGAGCCCTGTGTTTACACAGAGCAGTTGCTTTACCCAACAAGGGGATGCCAACTTTCATGGTAGGAATACTTTGCCAACTCCATTCCCAGTGTCGTCGGGAGGCTGACCTTTGCAAAGCCAAGTATGTTTCCTGTGAAGGGAAATCCAAGCAAAGAGCTTGTGGTTTGGCTCTGCTGTAGCCTTCCAAATCTTTGTTTGCCTTGTTACCAAAGTAAAGAGCTCTCATTTTGTCTCAGCTAGAACCCATGATTTGGTTCAGCCTTGGCCTTCCAAAATATTTGTGATTTCAGTCTCATGTGTTCCTCGTCGGGAAGGAATCACCTAGCAAAGAGATGTTGTCTCAACTAATGCCTTCCAAATCTGTTAAGGTTGAACCCAAGAAATCAACCTGTAGATATCAGATCAGCTGGAAAAATTTCTTGTTGCAAAAAGAGTAGATACAACTTGTGACCAACTACCGAGTGTTTGAGGTTTTTTTTTTTTTGGACAGCAAGAGGGTCTGAGACTCGTTCACGATGGGAAGTGCTTGTTTACTCTCGTGAGTAATAAAATTCTCATCCCCTTCCCCCCTTTATATAGCTAATTTTAATACTTTCAAGCTTTTTACCTAATTGGAGTTACCCACACAAAATTGCATCAAGAATTGTCCACCTTCCCAACACTAATCTAATGTGTACTCTCTTTTTGTTTGCAAATAAATCTAATGTGTACTCTACATTTATCTTCTTTCATAAGAATTGAAAACAAATGTAATACACGAATTGTCCATTAGGAGTCTCTAATTCGCAGGTAAAATCCATGATTCTTACACGAACTGAACTATTTGTGTGTGAACATTTATAAATTTATGTGAATCATAGCAGGTTCAGATCCAAAGCGAAAGTGAGCATCGATAGGCCCGTGATCTAGTAGACCCTCCCAAAGAAGGAAAGAGGTCCAAAATATCACTTGTTTTTGTTCTCCACACCTCCTCCCGGCGATCATGGGTTCCATTCCCCTCCTCCGGCAGTGCTAGGGTGGGAAAAACCCGGATCTCTGTTTTGACGTGGGTGTAGTTAGGTTTCTGGTCGGTGGCAATGTGGAGGCGGAGATGATGTCGGGGAAAATAAGTGTGCCACCTTGCTATCCACTCCGCGACGGCGTCTTCTGGGGCTTCATCGCCAATCTAGCAGCGATGTGGAGGCGGAGATGTTGTTAGGGAGAATAAGTGTGCCGCTTCGCCATCCCCTCGGCGGCAGCGTCTTCTAGGGTTTCGTCTGCTCGCGGGTCCACATATCTTGTGAGTCTTTCATTCCTTCACCTGGTCGACGATGCGACAACGACGACCATGCTATGTGGGGATTTTGTCCTTTGGTGAGTCGTCAATGCATTGACGCTTCCTCTAGCCGAGATGTGGATGTGGTAAGATGAGGTGTTGGACGGGGTCATATGATGCCCTGTGGTTTGGTTGCAACAATGTTTCTGATGACATTGGCTAGCAGTCGACCTTAGCTTTGCCATTCAATCCAGGACGGTTTTTCTGGACGAGCAGGGTGACTTCCTGACTGTGAGAGGCCGGTTTGGAAATAGGTCGAGGAGCGGCAACGGCGGTGCGCCACCGGCACATCTTGGACGTGGAGGTCGTGATGCTCCCAAAGGACGGGCTTGCAGTTTCTTATTCTGTTTGGGCTGCCTTGTAATGCTGAGGTTCTTACTAAAAGACATATTTACCTTTGCAAGAAAAAAACCTGCAATTTCAAGTTAAGAATCTCCATGTAGGTAGATTATTATTAGGGCAATGCTACGCGTCCCTCGGGTGATAAACCGATAAGATCAGTCCCCTCGGCAACCGTCAGATGCCGTCCGAAACAGCCGTCCGATCTACCGTCACAGCCAATTGGGCGCCTCGGCAACAACTAGCTTGTTGTACTCATGGCTTTGCAACAAGGACCTTGTTGCAAAGGTCCACTGAGACAGTACCACTGCCCCGTCATGGCCTGAGTGCCTCGGCTATGGAGCGTCGCCGCTCGCCAGAGTCGTCGCGCCTCCTCTGAACCAGCACCCCGAGCAGCTGCCTCTACTCCAGCACGACAACGATGAACTCTCACGCCAGGCACTCGTCTAGCGATTTCTGCAACCAAAGCTATGTTTCTGAAACATGCGTCATGTTGCAATGCTTGCCCTCGTACGCTCTAACGCAGGGCGCTCATTCTGGGCTCTCTACAACCGAGGCTATGTTTATGAAACAATACCCTTGTTATAGGAGAGAAAATATTTATGGTCAAACCATTTTTCTTTTTTCTGAAACAAGATGTTTGTTGCAGAAACTTTCTGAAACTAGACCTTGTTACCGAAAGAAAAACTTCACCACCAAACACTTTTTTTCTTTCTAAAACAAGATCTCACTTGCAGAAAGCTTCTGAAACAAGACGCTTGTTGCAAAAAAAAAACCTAGCCGCACGTGACTTATTGCCAGTGCGAGTGCCTAATCAAAATCAATCCGACGGCTACACAGGAGACGGATGTTGTGTGTGCATCAACCGGATGAAGGTTAGCGTTTTCCTTAAAGCATCTCCAGCCGTTGCGCCCCAAAGACGCGTCGAAAACCGCCGCTTGGGGGCGAGCTGGCGCTATTTTAGGCTTGGGTGCCAGTGTGTTCCCAGCCGCCCCCCCAGGTCGCCCCCAGGCGCCGATATCGGCCCAGTATCGGCGCTTTCAGCCCATTTTCGGCGCTGGATTGGCCCAATTTCCGGCGCTCATTCAAATAAGATCATCAATAAAATCATCACAAATAATAAAAACACTCATATTTCATTGCACGTCCGGCTAGGCGTTGCCCTTGAGCCTTCATAGGTGCTCCACTAGATCCTGCCGCAGCTGATGATGCACCTGTGGGTCTCGGATCTCCTGGCGCATGTTGAGGAAGGCCGTCCATGTTGCAGGGAGCTGGTGATCCACTTGGGCAAGAGGACCCTACCTGTAATATGGTTCAGTGTCAAACATTGGCTCTTTCTGCTCGCTCTCAATGATCATGTTGTGCAAAATGACACAACAAGTCATGATCTCCCACATTTGATCTTTCGACCAAGTCTTAGCGGGGTACCGGATAGCAGCAAATCGAGATTGGAGCACGCCAAATGCTCGCTCGACATCCTTCCTGCAAGCCTCCTGAACCTTCAAAAAGTGGGGGTTCTTGCCTCCTGACACAGGGCTTGAGATAGTCTTCACAAATGTTGACCATCTCGGATAGATGCCATCCGCTAGGTAGTACCCCTTGTTGTATTGGTGCCCATTGATCTCGAAGTTCACCGAAGGAGAATGGCCTCAACGAGCTTGGCAAAAACAGGAGAGCACTGCAGCACTCTGATGTCATTGTGAGTTCCTGGCATACCAAAGAAAGCGTGCCAAATCCAGAGGTCCTGTGTGGCCACTGCCTCAAATATCACACTGCAAGCTCCTTCGGTACCTTTGTACATCCCCTGCCAAGCAAACGGGCAGTTCTTCCATGCCCAATGCATGCAGTCGATGCTTCCAAGCATACCAGGAAATCCTCTTGCTTCATTCTGTGCCAGGATCTGAGCAGTGTCTTCAGCATTGGGTGATCGCAAGTACCTCGGTCCAAACACTGCCACCACAGCCCTGCAGAAACTTGTAGGTGCACTCAATGATCTAGGACTCGGCCATGCGCCCATAGTCGTCGAGTGAATCACCTGGAGCCCCGTATGCAAGCATTCTCATAGCTGTCGTGCACTTCTGGATTGAGGTGAATCCAAGTGTGCCGGTGCAATCCTTCTTGCACCTGAAGTAGTTGTCGTACTCCCTGAGTTCATTGACTATCCTGAGGAAAAGCTTTCGGCCCATCCGATAACGGCGCCGGAAAACTTTGTCGCCGTGCAGTGGAGCGTCGGCGAAGTAGTCGGAGTAGAGCATGCAATAGCCTTCGAGCCGATGACGGTTCTTTGCTTTCCGTCGCCCCGGCGCCGAGCCGCCTCGCCTCGGCTTTGCATCGCCGGCAAGCAAGCCGGCCAGGGCGGCGAGGACCATGAGGTGTTCTTCGTCCTGGGCAGCGGCGGCGGCTTCCTCCTCGAGCAACGCCGCGAGCACCTCCTCGTCGTCAGAGTCCATCGCGGCCGGGGCAGGCAAAGCACCGAACACGTAGCGGACGTCGTGCGCAGACTCGTCGGCGGGCGCCGGAGCGGCGAGGGAAACTCGGGGAAAGTGGGGGGAGAGGGCATCGGGGGGATCTTTCTTTGTTTCACGGCGAGGAATGGCGAGATAGCGGCGGCGGCGGTGGAGAGGTGGCTGGCGACGCCGGGATCGGCAAGGTGTCGGGGAAGGAGAGGGGAAAACGGGGCGAATCAGTGTGACTTTTCGTCTGACAGTGGGGACCCGGACGATTTTCCCTTCCGCCGGTGCCCCCAAGCGCCCCCAATGCGCTGGGTTCGGCCTGAGCGCGCCGGGTTAGGAAATGGGTTGATCCGGCGGATTTCGGCGTCTTGGGGGCGTAACTGGGCCGTTTTTTCGGTGCCGATATTAAAAAAAAAGCGGTCTAGAGGGCGCGGCTGGAGATGCTCTTATTATTACGCAGAAGACGCTAAATAATTCCAAGCATTGGACTCTCTTTCAAAGAGTCAGAAACGAAATCAAGCGGCTGAGATCAAATCCGTCCATCCTCCAGCCATCTCCATCGGCCCATAGGGCCTAGACCCCATCATCAACCTCTCTCGGTGTCTCCTCTCCCTGCCTCCCTAGTCCACCCCGCACCTCGTTCACTCCGCCGCCGTCTCCCTCCATTCCTCCGCCACCGCCAGCCCACCTGCATTCCACCAATACCCACCCCCGCCCTCTATAAATAAACACGCGCACGCATACACGCCACTATCACCGCCGCCGCCTCCCCAGCCCCCAGATCTCGACCCGACCTCCCATCTGCAATGGCGGCCGCATCGTCGCTCCACGTCGCCGCCCCGGCCGCCACCCCGCGGGTGGGATCTGCCGGCCCCAAATCCGCGTCAGGTAGTCACCGTCGCCCCGCGCGTGGCTCTTCGCCCGTGGCTCGCCGGATCTTCGCTGATTTTGCGTGTGTTTTTCTCTGCTGTAGCGGCGAGGAGCGTGCGCGTGGCCAGATCGGGCGCGGCGGCGCGTCATGGAGGCAGGCTGGTGGCGTGTGCCGCCGTTGCAGTTGCGTGCTCTGTTCTGCTCTGAGAATCTTTTCCTTCTTCTCTGGTGCACTGGACTGTTCGCTTAATCTTGTTTGTGATTTCGTGTGCAGACCAAGGCTGATGCGCCGGCGAGCGAGGCGGCATCCAAGTCTGAAGGGTAAGACTGTAACATCACACTTCCTCGCCTGCCTGATATATGCACAACTGTGTTCTGAGTGCTCATGATGAATCAGGATCCATGCAAAACTACCTTGGGGAAAACGGATTCGTGCAAAACCAACGATTCAATTGATTGTTCATCTCTCAGGAGCTAACAGTTCGAGTATTGAACTCAATTTAGCTTAGATTTGATTGGATTCGCTGTCTTAGGCTGTATTTGGCTACACTCCAGTTCAGAGTTCCAAGTTTGTTACGACTTGTAGTTTTTAGTGTCATGTGTCACTATAGTTGTCTGCTAAGTTGCAAACTTCCCTCGGTTGCCGAAGTGGTGGGCTGTTTAAACTTTTAATATGACCCCTGTCAAAAACACATGGGGTTTTGGAAAGCGTGTGGTGAAGCTTCTCTACCTTTGACTAGGATCGTATCAGAAATAATTTTCTTTATAAAATCAGGAGAAAAGGGTGTCATAAGGTTCTTAATAATATTTCATAAACAGAGGAAGGACGTAGTCAAAGTTGAAAGTTCGTATACAGTAAGGACCAAAGTTATACCGTTTTAGGACAGAAAGCCAGTTCTGTTTGTGCTTGAGGGCTTGAGTGGATATGGCTTGAAGCCACATGATTCCGCAGTCAGTTAAGTTTCTTTTTACTGATGGAAAAGATCGTAGGACCAACTGCCTAATACAGTAGATGATATGCACCTGTTCTTCTGGTGGACAGCATACTTTAATAACCCTAATAGCAAACCAATAAGTAGTTGGCAAGTGGCTAGGAACACAGATTGCAGTATATCTAGGGAGTAAGCAAGCTGCTTCAGTGAATTGCAAGCTGAGATTTGGGACTACTTAATATTGTTTTGGTTATTTTGACAAAGACAATGCGCGATGACTTGTTGCTTCTTTGCCTACTTAGTAAAAAAAATTGAAGCTGTATTTACTCTATTTCCATATTTCAGTAAAAACTGACATCATTGTGATTTGTTAAGCGCTTAACCTTTGCTTAGTAGATTTTTAAATCCTGGGTTTGGCACAATATTTTACTATTTGTTGATAGGCAGAGTATTAAGTCAACACAAACCCGTAGCTTGGGAATATCATGCAAACTCTCGTATGAACTTCAGTTGGTGGGATCTGTCATATGTACATCCACCCAAGTAAACTGGATTTATTTTCCAAAATTCAGTAGAATGCTTACTACCGGAAGGGAATATGATGCCTCTTTGACCTACCTGAGTTACCCCTGTGTAAGATATAGATGGGTTGGGTGGAACCAGCTGACTATTGGCCACATTTACTGGCTTTGGCCTTTCTACTCTCCCCTCTGTAGGAAGCTTTAAACTGGGTTTGGTCTTTAAAATGTAACTGTGCTACTCTCTCCATTCTTCTATTTTATATTACCCAATAAACGAAGATTTTACTGCATTTGATCTTTCATGAATATGACTTCTTGTATGCTCAAGTGCAAGTCCCTGATTATGTAATAACTTCTATGTAGTCATGAGGTCTTGCTGTTCGAGGCTCTTCGCGAGGGTTTGATGGAAGAGATGCAAGCGGATCCAACAGTGTGTGTCTTTGGTGAAGATGTTGGTCACTATGGTGGTTCTTACAAGGTGACCAAGGGTTTGGCTGACATGTTTGGAGACCTTCGGGTTCTTGATACACCGATTGCGGAGAACTCATTCACCGGCATGGGAGTTGGAGCAGGCATGAAGGGGCTGAGGCCTGTTGTTGAAGGCATGAACATGGGCTTCCTTCTCCTTGCTTACAACCAAATCTCAAACAACTGCGGCATGCTTCATTACACCTCTGGTGGCCAGTTCAAGATACCACTTGTGATCAGAGGTCCTGGTGGTGTTGGTCGCCAGCTTGGTGCAGAGCATTCACAGCGTCTTGAGTCATACTTCCAGTCGATCCCTGGTCTCCAGATGGTTGCTTGCTCCACTCCTTACAATGCCAAGGGTTTAATGAAGGCTGCCATAAGGAGCGAGAACCCTGTCGTGCTATTTGAGCACGTCCTTCTGTACAACCTGAAGGAGAAAATTCCGGATGAGGAGTACACTCTATGCCTGGAGGAGGCTGAGATGGTACGGCCTGGTGAGCATGTGACTATCCTCACATACTCGCGTATGAGGTACCACGTGATGCAGGCTGCAAAGACGCTGGTGAACAAAGGGTACGATCCTGAGGTGATTGACATAAGGTCGTTGAAGCCATTCGATCTGCACACAATAGGCAACTCCATCAAGAAGACCCACCGCGTGCTGATTGTGGAGGAGTGCATGCGCACTGGCGGGATCGGCGCCAGTCTGAGATCGGCCATCATCGACAACTTCTGGGACTACCTTGACGCCCCCATCATGTGCCTGTCGTCTCAGGACGTGCCAACACCCTACGCCGCAACTTTGGAGGATGCGACCGTCGTGCAGCCTGCCCAGATTGTTGCCGCCGTCGAGCAAATATGCCAATAGGGCATCATCTGTTTCAGCATCGTTGATTTGTATCTGCCCTGGCTTGGAAGAACCTTTAATTTGTCATTTTTGCCTTGTAGCGAGGTGTTCATTGTGGTATAGGCTTGTATCCATTTTTTATTCCAGCTACATAACTGTACTGTATTATGCTGAATGCTACTAGGGTCTGGACTCGGGTTTATTGGAAGAAATCTTTGATTATCCTGGGCAAGGTATAGCCATTTGTTTGATTATCTTTGTTTTGCCTTCTAAAGAAAGATTGTCTCGGGCCACATGGTTGAGGTCTCAAGAAAGCTTAGATCATGACATCCAGAACATGTCAGCAGCCATGGCCTCACCACCAATTGCAACATTGAAAAGAAGATCACAACACCCCTTCTCCAGGGGACGAGTCGCTTGCTTGATCAGCCAAGCAACTTAAGGTTTAATAAACCATACTTACAGAGATTGTCCAGGAGTCCAGGCTAAGCTACACTAGCTAGATGATCGCATCAGTCTAAGCTACACTAGCTAGATGATCGCGGCTTACATTCTCACAGAACCACACATGACATCACAGCTGGAACAATACCATCAGCAACAGCAGGAGGTGACACAGCCAGCCCAACCTCCCTTCAAACCCATAGCGCCGGCGACCGTCGCTCGCCCTTTCCCTCACCGCCACGCCGCCCGGCTGGTATGCCACGCCGGGGTTCCACCCGGTGGGTATGGCGTTGCCGGCGACGAGCATCTTGCCGGACCTGAAAGTCAGCCGGATGGAGAAGGGCCCCTGGAGGGTGGAGCCGGAAAGCTTCCACACCGCGCCCCAGGACTGCTGCATCGGGATCCACACTCCGGTTGCCCCGGCACCGCTCTGCATGATGTCGACGGCGTAGAGGTCGCTGTCGCCGTCCTCGTACTCGACCAGGATGGCGAGGTAGTTCGGGTTCGAGCCGCTGTCCACTTTGAAGGTCAGGCCTACTCCAGTCCAGTCACAGGTCACGCTGCACAGACACAAATGCTAACACGACGGATTAATGGCGGCCATAGAAGAGCCATTGCAAGAGGCCATGAAGAGTAACCATGACCTATATGTGTTCCATCGACTTGTGCGTACCGGGTGTACTGGATTTGGATGAGGCCAGCGCCGCGGAGCTGGTCAGCTTGGCCAGGTTTCGCCATGGCGCCGAATGCTGTCCCGCTCATGTCGAAGTGCGCTGCCTCATTCTGGCACTGTCCATCGACTAACCCGCTCAGGCATGGGCCGCCACCAGGGCCCTGGTCTGTGATGACGACGGTCACCGGAATACCAGAGCAAGCTTGATTGCCACCGCAGACCACCTGATGAAATCAAGGTTACTGAATGTCAAATGACAGACAAGTTGCAGTCATGCTCATGGCCTCAGCTGCATACGTAGAGCTACAGACGCACCCGGTAGCACGCGCCACAGCCATCGCCAGAGTCGTATATGACAGGGCCGCCAGCGGCAATCATGGATGAGAACGGCGGCTGGTCGACAGCATACTGGTACCCGCAAGCGCCACCTACAACAGCACATGTGATTCAGGCATGCAGGCATCAGACGTTAACGTCAAGTTCAAACGCTAGTTTGGGCAGGGCTAGTGCCATTCAATCATATATCTATTACCTTCACTTCCCGCGCCATTGGCGTCACCATACCAAGTAGCGATGCCATCGGACCAGCCGGAGAGCTCATGGTGGATCTCAATGGATGCACAAGGGTGGAAGAGTGAAGCAATAACAACTCTGGTGGCAATGAAGGACAGGAGCTGAAGCTTGGAAGCCATTCGCAGCACTCTGTCACAATTAGCTATCGCTGGTAAGGTTTGAGAAAGTGTTGGCTTGCAAGGAGGGAAGACAAATAGAGGAATAGTGTTAGTCTTGCAATGTGCACATTCAATAGACAATTTGTTTGATAAAGGACAGGCCATAGTACACAGGTTTTCTTTGGAGAGAGGACACACTGAAGCAAGAGTAGCAGGATTTTGCAGTGCAATCTTGTCATTTTCTTGTACTCCCTCCGCTCCGATCCATATCAATTGTCGCTGATTTAGTACAAAGTTGTACTAAATCAGCGACAATGAATATGGATCAGAGGGAGTAACAAAAATGGCATCAATCACTAATTCGCTACCACACAGGGAACTGATGATCAGTTGACAAGTGACTCAGAGAGAGGAGAATAAATTTTGGAGAGATCCTCTCCTTGCCTTGGCGCAGTGGTAAAGCTGCTGCCTTGTGACCAAGAGGTCACGGGTTCAAGTCCTGGAAACAGCCTCTTACAAAAATGTAGGGAAAGGCTGCGTACTATAGACCCAAAGTGGTCGGACCCTTCCCCGAACCCTGCGCAAGCAGGAGCTACATGCACCGGGCTGCCCTTTTTTTTTTTTAGAGATCCTCTCCTTGGGACAGATGCAGACATTCCGACAAAAAATGGATGTGTGCATCGCAATGATGCAGAGGCCGGGGCTTTCACCCTCCTTTTAGAAGAAAAAAAACTGAAAAAATTGGCATGAGGCGAAAATTCTATAATTGTCAAATCAATGTACAAATGCTCCTGAATTTTCTTAGACTAATATTCCAGGATATCTTATGAGTATGATACTGAGATATATGGAAAGGCATCATGAACTCATTTGATCCTGTCTAACAATCCCAAAGATCTTAATATGAATATCTGATACACTTAAAATGAAACGAGAGCAGATTTTAATGTGATAGGTAAAGACTACAAGCGATTGTTATTTAAGCACATCATGCTAGTTACAAGCATTATCACCATACATCTATTATAGTTGGTTAAGAGCTCAGTGTTATCACTGCATCTAGGATAGCCCTTATGTCTAAACGGTTCTGGGGTGTAACATGTAGTGCTAGCAGGGGTACATATAACAAAAATGGTCTTAGACATTGTGAGTGTCATGTTTTTTTCTTAATAATGGAAGTTTTATCACCCCGGCCTCTGCATCCTAAGATGCATATCGCTGTTTATAAGCATTTGACACCTCGAATAATAATAAGGGTGAGTTACAGATTTGAAGAAAAATGCAAAATCTGAATAATGAAAGAATGTTGGGGCTCGTAGAAAACCATTGCCTGATCACCGGTTTCTAGTATGTAAACAGAATTATTCCACAGCTTGTGCTACCATACTCTTTTGGAGAGAAAAATATGAACTACTTTACTTCAAGATTAGTAAACTTTTCTAGAAGAAGAGCACCACAGCAAATCCTGAATCCCACTAATCTGACATACAAAATGATTAAAGATGTCACTACGCACATTTCATTTTGTATTTCAAGATTACTTATCATCATTGCTACATAGGGAGTAGAACATTGTGCAGTGTAAGTAGGTACCTACAGATCACGCAGCCAACACACAAATTAGAAGTCTCAGTATTGGCTGATGACAGTTCTACTTCCTACATATACTCCCATATTTGCTCCTGGACGCATCGCGAGCCAATGAAGGGAAGCGTCTTCGAACACGGGGAGAGTTCGCAAACAAGCGAGCCTCGAGCCCCTAAGCTTGTTCCAATTCAAAGCAATCAGCAGAATCGAGCAATTTCCTACCTCTGGTATTGCTTGCAATCTGCTCATATCTGGGGCAAATGTGTACCAAGGGACAGAAACGCGCAGCCTCCTAAACAAATTCAAACTGAAGTGCACCATACATATATATACACGCACTAGAAAAGCGCCAACACGAATCAATCCTAGGTCGATTTGACCCGCTGCCTGGAAACGATAACCAACCAAATTTGCACGAACCCTGAAGGCCTGAAGAAGCGCCATGCCAACAAGCAGGCGCAGTCACCAGTCGCGTCAGAACGGCACAGTGCGTAAGAAGTATAGCGAGGAGTCTTACCCGTCGAGCCCGGCGACCACCGTGCTCCTCGAGTCCGGCCACCTTCCCCCCGCACGCACGGGGAAGACGAGCAGCAAATGCGGCGGCGCAGATTCGGAAGAGGAGCCAAGCGAAGGCGGGTCGAGGCGTCCGGCCAGTTGCTGCTGTATTTGCAAGGAGAAGGCGGGGTTTGTTGAAATGTGGGCGGCGGCGGCGGTGGAGGAAGGGAGGTGGCGGCGGGGGAAGAGAGATGGTGGGGGAGTGGAGTGTCTCACGGCATCTCCAGCCGTTGGCCCCCAGGGGGCGTCTAAAAGCGCCGCCTGGGGTGAGCCGGCGTAAAAAATGGCTCTGGGGCGAGTCGGTCCCCAGCCGTCGGCCCCAGGGCCGTCCCCAGGCGCGTATTAAAAAATAAAAAAAAAACGTTCGGCGACGTTACGATAAAAACTAATTAAATTTCGGCCAAACATGGCAAATTTCGGCGAAATTCGTCCAAACATTACATTAACCTAATCTGAAAAAAAGAAAGGGGGAAGTCGTCGCCGCCGTCGCCGCCATCGTCGTCGGCGGCCTTCTCCTCCTTGACGCGGGCGCCCCTGCTGGACCCCTGCCCGGCGTCGCCATGGCGAACAGGCGGCGGCGCGTCGTCGTCGTCGCTGCTGTCGCATAAGACGACGACCCCGCCTTCCTCGCGGCCGCGTCGGCGCTCCTCGAAGCGGCGTAGGGCGGCGCGCTGGCGCTCCTTCTCCTTCTCGCGGCGCGCCTTCTCCATCGCAATGGAGTCCTGACGCGCCCATTCGAGGACGGCGTCGCCGTCGTCGGCGAACTCGGCCTTCACCGGCGCCAGCCCCGGCTCCGTCTTCACCGGCGCCAGACCCGGCTCCGTCTTCACCGGCGCCAGCCCCGGCTCCGTCTTTGGCTTGACGAAGCGCGGAGGAGCCGACGAGGGGGCGCGCCGGCCGCCCTCGTTGATGACGATGCCGGCGCTGCGAGTGCGCCGGCCGAGCGGCGTCTCCTCCGCGGGCTCGGCCTTGACGCCGAGCAGCGCCGGAGAGCCGGAGGAGTGTGAAGAAGAACGGGATGATGAGGAGGAAGAAGAGGAGGCGCCGAACCTTCTTGGAGCCCATGGCCCAGCGCGTCGGTGCTGCGCCGGGGCGGCCACCCTCGCCGGGGGGTACGCCAACGGCGGGTCGTTGCCGCCCTCGAGGTACGTGAGCACGCCCTCGAGTGTGCGGCCGGGGACGCACCACCAGAGGTAGCGTCCCTCGCTGTTCTGCCGGCTGCCGACCACCGGCGCGCCGTTGGTGGACGCCAAGCGCTGCTGTTGGCGGCGCTCGAAATACGCCGCCCAGGCCGCGTGGTTGTCGGCGGCGTACTGGGGGAGGGAGAGCTCGGCGTCGGTGAGGGACGCGCGCACGATCTCGACCTCCTCGGCGAAGTACCTCGGGTCCGCCGCGGCGTCAGGCAACGGGGGAATGGGCACTCCCCCGGCGCTGAGTCTCCACCCCGTCGGCCCGGCGCGCATGTCCGGCAGCGCCGGGATGTTCGCCTGGAACAGGAGCCACGACTCCTGTTTGCGCAGCGAACGGCGGCCGAAGTCGTTGGCCGCCGCCGTATCTCCGGGGAAGCGCTCTGCCATGGCGAAGGCGGGGCTGGGCGGGCTCGGAAGAGGTAGAGGGAGGGGCTGGGCGACGGCGCTCGGGGAGAGGTAGGGAGAGGAAGGGCTGGACGGCGCGAGGGGCGGGGCTGGTGTGGGCGCAGGTGAGCGGAGGCCACCGGCTTTTATAGCCGGGCCGCGCCCGTGTGTACGCGTGTGAGGGAGTGGAGGCGTCGGCGCGCCGTCCCGTGAACGCGCCGCCCGTGAGGAATCAATGGCAAGGCTGACCGGCGGCAGCCTTGCCATTGATTCCCCGCGGGAACCGAGGCCGTTGGGGGAAGACGAGGCGCCGAGTCGCTGACGCGGCTGGCCCGCGTCTTTTTCGCGCCAAAACAGCTCGCCCCGGCGCCCCCGGGCGCCCCCCAGCGCGCCGGGTTCGGCCTGGGTCCGCCGGCGCTGTTTTCGGCCCAAGCAGGCGAAAATCGGGCTCCTGGGGACGCGACTGGGCCGTTTTTTCGGCGCCGGCGCGAAAAAATCGCCTGGGGCGCGGCTGAAGATGCCCTCACACCTCACGGTCGAAAGGAGCGAGATGGAGAGAGGGGAAAGTTAGAGAAGCTACAGTACCCTAACTTCCCTTCTTTCTATCCACATGATTAAGGTTAAATGATTTAAATTAATTTCTAAATTAATAATCTACTGCGTATATTTATAGTAATTACATACAAACAAATTGATGGTGAAATAAAATTATTTTAAAATATTTATATCTACAGTAAATATCAACACTAAACAACCTTCTAGCTATCTACTAACTGTTCTTAACTTTCTTTCTTCATTTTACACTAGGCTATCACTGTAGCACGGTGACTTTCCTTTAGAGGATCCGGTTCCGGCGAGTGGGTGACATGCCTGTTTTGGTTGCACGCCCGGCCGGCCGGGGCACTGTCCATCGCGTCTCCCTGGCCCACGACAAGCTGGTAAGCTTTGTCATTTTCAAATAATGACATTTCACAACCTCGAAAACCCCACTATATATGTACTGTATAATCAAACAAATCCTGCACTATGGTCAGTCCAAATTAGAAGGTTTCTTTTTAAAAAAAAAAGAAAAATGACCTATATGGGAGGAACTGAAAGGATGCAGGGGAATTTATTGGGGAAAAAATAAATATGGTGAGGGGAGAGGGTCCGATAAGATATTGGAGAAAGGTTGTTAACAACATCACCAACCGCAGTCAAACTGGACAAAATTTATATAAAACGGACGCCTTTCATAGAAATTGGAGCACACTCATTACATTCTTTTTAAATATTTTTCATTAAAAAAGGCGATTGGACCTAAAC